ACGATCGTGATTTCCCTTCAAGTCCAAAGAACAATTATTAACTTCTACGCCATAATTAACCAGTTTTTAAAGCATTAACTACTATGCAGTATCTTTGTACCAGGCCTGTCTTAGTTAGATAACCAATATATCAGAACATGTGATATACACGATCGTGATTTCCCTTCAAGTCCAAAGAACAATTATTAACTTCTACGCCATAATTAACCAGTTTTTAAAGCATTAACTACTATGCAGTATCTTTGTACCAGGCCTGTCTTAGTTAGATAACAAATATATTAGAACATGTTTTAAACCAGCAATAGAATCTCTCAATGAAATTTAATTTTTTTTTTTACTTAGTTAAAAATTATTTTATATAATTTCATAATAACATGCAGTACAATACTCTTATTTCATATACACTCGTTTTCTTTTATTACATGGTGAGAATGTATACATTTCTGCTTGAAATACTTAAACACTTCAATCACTACAAAAATATGATGTTAATAAAACACAGTATACATACGTAATTTTTGAATACTGGCCAAGTTACTACTGTACAGCAAATTACATTAAACAGAACCTGATCAATAACTGGAGGAAAAGCTATCTCTCTTTCCGTTACTATGTTTGAGATATAAAACTAAAAAATGGTTCCGTAATATGAACAGCAGTTTTTTTTTACAAATTCTTTAACTAGAACCTCCATACATAGTATTGTTACTTTATTGAATAAACCATGAAATCTGATTACATCTATTAATTTAAGAATTACCTAATTAAGATATAACAACAAATTAGTACACTCTTCTTAACATAATAATATCAAGATGGCATATTTCACACAATTACTGTTTAAGAATCACATTGACAACAGTTTTCGTACTTCATATGATACTTTATAACAATACTTTTAACACTTTGGGTAATGGTGTTAAATACCTCAGGTGGCAAGGAATTGGTTTAGTTTGTTTTCAATTTCGCGCAAAGCTACACGAGGGCTATCTATGCTAGCCATCCCTAATTTACCAGTGACAGACTAGAGGGAAGGCAGCTAGTCAACACCACCCATCGCCAACTCTTGGACTACTCTTCTACCAACGAATAATGGGAGTGACCATCATAATATAATGCCCCCACAGCTGAAAGGGCAAGCACGTTTGGTTGGGCAGGGATATAGAACCCGCAATCCTCAGATTGCGAGTCAACCACCCTAACCACCTGACCATGCTGGGCCCAGATGACAAGTTAAAAGGCTCTTTTAGCCAAGAGGTGTAGCAAAGCAACACACTTCACATAATGTCTTTACAATCTCATTAGTCAGTTCATTACAAATCTAAAAACAAAAGTGTCTATGCTGGTGTATTTCAGATCTTTCTCTTGTCTATCGCAAGTTACTGTGCAGAAGGTCTTTTAATGAATACCATAACTAATGTCCTAACTAGCAGAATTTTAAAAATCTTGAGTCCAAAATGATGTTGAAGCAAATGTTTTAAACAAAATAGCTAAGTACTCTTAATATAACATATACATATAATACACAAAATTTATTACTATAACTCATACATCTCAGCAATATCTTAAAATATTTCACCAATTCCTCACATTTTTTTTTATTAAGGGCTCTTACCACTTTAGGTCTGCTTCCATCACCAGTAAAATTATAAGCACATTGGAAACTTTGACCAGACAAAAGACGTGAATGTGTAACTCCACGATGAGCTGCCAAAGCTTGACGAAGATAGTGTTCCATTCCTGACCCTTCTTCTGGGCTAATTGCATCTTCATCATCAGCAAAAGAGTCATCATAGTCAATACTTTCAATTTTATGAGTATCTGGTCCCACAGGTGTCCAGAATAAAACCTAGAAGAAGGAAAGTTAGTTAAAGCTAAGATCACTATTTATACAACCTATTACTCTTTTCATTTACACATCATTCTTTTACGTTTATTATAATAAACGACAGATGTTCTACATACCTGATTCCTGTAGATGTACTTTCCACCATCTGACACTACATTAAACCCACAGTTCTGAAGGGATGTATTCAAAATAAAGTGAGTGCTGTTACTTGTAGCCTTACACTCCTGGTCCTGTAATGTCACCTCCAACCAATGAATGTTTGCTCCATTTATCCTCATGGCAATATCCTCAGTGGAGGACTTAGGAAAGGTTATTTTTATCATATTTTTCTGACATTCTAAAGTCATCAGACTCTCTAATTCCAAAGTAAGGTTTGCATCTGCATTTCCTGTGAAATTATAATAATAATTACTTATATTTTGCATCTTTCCTGTGAGTATAAAATTAAATTTAATAAAGATATGAGTTTACAATACTTACCATCAAAAATTCTAATAACAAAATACTTGTAATGACAGTAGTGGTTTGGCTGGGTCCAAATGATTAACTTTTAGAAATCTAAAACCATCGAGGCTGGCCTAACCCTCTTGAAAATTTATGTTGGTATCTTTAACTATATAGTTGAAGAGATGGTCTCAAAACAAAACAATTTTTCTCCAATAACAGTGTTGTTTGAATTACAGTACACCATCTTAGTAAAAATAAAAAGTAAATAAAAGTTTACAATTAACTAAACATTTAACCTGTACCTCAAAAAAGCTATGATCTATGTACTCTTTTAATTAAATTCTCAAATAGGACAGTGTTAGGACAAATATGATGGACAACATTTAACAAAAAGTAAAAAATAAATCAATAGGAAGTGTTTTTTTGTCTTCTTGGTTTAAAAGATTGTTAGAATTAAATAAAGGGTATCCCCAAAGTTGGTTGTCATTGTAATATTAAAGAAATTAACATTCCTTTCCTTGTTTCTTTGCAGTTTCGGTAAGAGTTCCATATGGCACCCCCACTCAATTTTAAAAAAAAATTCATCAAAGTAATATTTATGTATTAATAAATCATATTAATAGTATGTAAGTACAATGCTAGATAGATATAACAGATCAAAAGACAGAATTACGCTGACGAAGTTGGAAGCGTTAGTTACAATAGGGGTGTCAAAAGGAAATGGGGATGCCAAAGTAGTATGGAACATTTTTTTTCATTTTTTGGTAAACCCCAAAAAGCCATGCCCCAATTTTTCTAATACGCCCCTTAAAATAAACCCTTTTCAGAATCTTTTTTATCCAGGCAATTCTACAATTTTTGGGTGAGGGTGCCATATGGAACTCTTTCCGCAGTTTCTTTAGGTAATGGCACTGAGCATTAATGAACGTGTGATTGTAATCACCACTAAACATCTTCAGTATTATAGTGTTTTTTAAAATGGGACATTTTAAACCTATTTTGTAAAGATGTATAGACATGCTACTTATGGTAACCAGCTTTTGGGACACCTTATGTGAAGTACCTTGCCATTTCTGCAGAAATGTATTAGTTACTGTTGTCTTATCCTTACTGTTCCACGTTTCCCTGGATTTTGTACTCATGGACGTCTTTGAAAAGCCTTTCAAGTTAAGAGGTAATTCAGACATTCCTCTACGCAATTTATCCCATGGAAGAGGAGATATCTGGGAGGAAACGGTAGCGCTAAAGTCTGACTGTTGAGGCCGAAGAAACCGAGACTGACCTCGACTAACAGAGAATCCACCTTGAGGTGATCCATCATCACTTTGTACATTGTAATGGTCAGTACCTAGAACAAAACACCCAAGACAGGGTCAGTTGATCAATTCCATTTAGCACGAAGATTTTTTTGGCATGATTTTGTTAGTTGTGTATCGAACAGTACACCGTCATCCTGTGTATTTTTTTACTGGTTGGTTTCTAAAACAAAATCTGTAATCAGATCAGCTCTCACATTCTGTAAGTGTTATCATCTCTAAGAAGAATTTGTCTGTTTTTTATAATCGTACAATACTCTGAACACAGTAGGCTTAACTCTGAGTTAGGCATTAGAAAAGTATATATTTAGAGAGGTCAGATAGATAATATTCTACTAATGGCATCACTAAAATGTTTTTTGGATTTTAATTTTAACAGTATATCTTTAGAAAAACCTACATTTAAGTCACCTGGGATATTTGTTTAACAACATATCTAGAAAGATATGACATGGGTTTGATAATAATACACGACAACGATAGAGAAGCACTCTACATGAAAGTGAAAATATGTATTACAAGACCACCCAATTTATTTTAATAATTATCAACATTGTTGTAACCTACAATGGTGCGTAAACAGGGCCACTGGGAGCTTTCAGGGTCCCAGGGAAACTTCCCCAGCCTCCCCAACCTCTCAGCGAGCCCATACACATCCACAAAAGCTAGAAAAGAAACTTCCATTTCCCAAAATAACAGTTGTAATGTTGATCTTCTATTTTCATTTTGAACATGCCAAATTTTATGTACTAATATTTTCATTTGAAATTTCCTAATGAAATTAATGTACATATTATCATCATTAAAAAGAGTATATAGACCTCTTAATTTATCAGCCTAATAAGTTTTAACCATAACATAAAATATGTCCTAGCTGAAGTAAAATAATGAGTATAGAATTAAATTTTTGATAAAACAGAAAGGGAAAAATTGAATGTTTCATTGACAGAACTTGTCGTGAATGGTTTAAACTAGAACAATCTAAACCTCAGTAGATAACGTTCTCATGTTGTAGTTTTCCACAACAAAGAGTTTATCACCTAAGGGTAGTATTCTTTATAACCAAATCTAGGAAACAAATAAATTAATAGCCCATCTTCCTGAAAATTTCTGTTTAGTGTTTTAGTAACATTTTAAACTCTTTTAGTAGTAAGAAATAATTTTTATAAGAATAGAACACATGTTATTGAAATTTCAAGAAATAAAATCTTATCATAAAAGGTAGGAACAGTAGGCAAAATTATTAATTTAAACTTGACATAAGATCAGTTTTGATCAACAATATACCAGAAAATTGATAGCTTAACATTATATCTCAAGTTTCAACAACAACAACAACAAAATTACACTAGAAAACATGGAGGTTTAAGTACTGATAATACAACATAGAATATAGACATGAAATTTTGGACAGACTAGAAGATGTCCAGGTACAATAAACACTAATTACATGTTTTTGTACTTTTATATACTTCTTCAAAGTGGCTCCATGACATTTCCTTTTTGGATTCATAATACTAAAATTTGTTTATCCACTTATCATAATTTTTAAATTACATTAAATAAATTGATAAAAATTATCAAATTTTCTTAAATCTGCTAATTATAAAATTATATAACTTTATTGTTAATTATGTAATTTTTATCATTTTGAAAAAAAAACACAAATGCACTTTTTCTTCCATCAATTCTTTCTTTGGTACCTATTTACATATCTTATTTCTTTCTCTGGACTAAGTATTTTTTTTCTCTTAATGTTTTTAACATTATTATTAATATTATTTAATTTTAGTTTGAATAATAAAAGTTTACAAAGATTTGGTGTAATTAATATGTTTTATAGATCTTTGGAACATTAAGATTACTTACCAACAGTTTCTCCTACAACCATAATGTTAATTCTATTTGCTGTGTTGGTCTCCATGATTGTAGATACATTTCCAAATGCATTAATGACTTCTGAAACCAACTCCTCTGTGTCATTGGAAAGACTCTGTACACGGACCTGTATAAACTGAAAGTCAGGAACTGACCCTGGAGTCACCTGGTGTTCAGCCTATATAAAACAAAATAAAAATCAGAGAGGTATTATTATTATTATGTTTGGTAAGTTTATATTCCTGGTTAAGGTAGCTTTTTTAAAAATTGATTTCCTGAGTTTTTCTCATATTAGACTTATCAAAGTAAATTTAAAAAGGTCT